TTCTCATGCTTTCCTGTATTTCTTCCTGCCTCTTTCTCCTTTAAACACACAAATGCAAGAGCTCTAGTGAATCCCTCATCCCTGTTTTAGGAAGCAGTGCCCGGAGAGACCTTCTGCCAGCTTGTGTTAAGCGTTCACCAGGGTACCTTGCCTTAGGCAGTGGTTTCTTATTATTATACTCACCAGTGCAAGAAGCATTTAACTGCTCTTTCCATATAGCCAGTGTGAAAAACGTGTAGTAAAGCATTAACTTTAACTTGCTGATGGTTGATCCATACCCTAAATGTACATTTTAAGGTAGCTAGGAGCAATTCCTAGCACAATAACACGGCATGGTGTATATACAAAATATAAGAAACCCTATGGAATACAGGTGGTATCAAATTTGGCAAAACCCACGCTTAAGTATCATCAAAATTTTCTGTTTCTGAAGGTAAGCATTTATTGTAGATACAGTATTTTTTCATTTACTCTTGTGGCATATAAAAACATTCTCTAGAGAACATTAATGCATAAAAGCAGAACCCAAGCTAGAATCACCACAGCATCTATTCAATAGCAGCACTTCCTTATTTAAGGCTTTATAGGACACCCTGGGTTTGGTTTCTGGGAGGTCAGGAGGGAGAAGTTTCTTGTAAGAGGGAACTGAACACCCTTTTAACACTCAGTTGAGAATGGAACTCAGTGATTTTTAATTGTTTCAGAATATTTTGCACTGTTTTTCTGCTGAGGTGATCTTTTGTGCCTTCAATTATGCAACAGAGTAGCATGTTATGAGGTCAGGGAGAAAACCCTCAAACTGAGATGTCCTTCAAATGTATCAGGTTACTTTCGAGATCAGCTTTTCAGTATTGCTCTTTGCTGATGATGTGGATCTGGAACACTTGACTCATGGTATGTTTGTTTTCAGCTTCTGAGGAGGAAAAAATGTCTGCAGCCCAGTGCTGGGGGCTGTGGAGGATAGCCAGCATTCTCGACTTGACCAGGACTGAAAAGTTCAGCTCTCGCGTGCACCATTAGTTGTCAAAAGGACAGAGACTAGTGCAAGCTGGAGCCATATGGATTAATCAAGATGTGTGCTCCTCAGAATTATTCAGCTGCGTGAGTTTTAGCAGTGACAGTGCCTCAGGACATGTCTTAGAATAAGTCGTAGTTTCCTGGCAATCAGATAAAAGAACTGTCCAGAAAATTATATTCCAGCTGCATCTCCAGCCAGCTGATCTTCAGCACGTAAGGAGGAAAATACTACCATCCTTATATCACATGCACGAAAGCTGAGGTTAAAGTGTAACTCACAGATTGCAGAGAGGCCTCAGCTTCAATGACTTCAGTGGCAACGAGGTGTTCCTAAGCTGGGGTCCAAAAGCTGCAGTAGCCCTAGAGCGTCAGAGTAAAAATAGACCAAAAATCAAGACCTATTGCTCTACCCAGCTCTTTGTTCCTTAAAGGAAATGCTTTGAGAACAGCTTTTTGAAATTTGGATGGTTGACTTTTTTGGCAAAACTCCCTAGCATGAAGAATCTATCAAAAAAAAAAAAAAAGTTTGAGGAACATGAATTGTGACAGCCTTCTCCGTGTTCAGGAGATGGCTTGCTTGGGGTTTCTCTTTCCAAGAATAAATGCAGAGAAAACCCATGTAATTCCCTGTTTGTTGGATACAATTACGGACTACCCACAGGGCAACTAAGCTCTGTCAGCTGGAAATGGGCTGCTCTATCTACAAGGATCCTGTTTGCGTTGACTGTGTTTCTTTCCCCTGGTGCATGCAAAAATGTTCAAGGGCAGACTATTACTCTTCTGTGGCAAAAAACTTTTGACCGGTGAGTGCTGCCAGCAATTAACTAGATAAGTGTTTTCATAGTCTTTTAAATTCTGTGTATACCTAAGAATTCTTAGTAGGTACAGAAATCAGACAATGTAGCAGACAGCTGCCCGAATGGGAGATTATCATGTCTGTCACAGTTCTTCTATCTTCCTCCTTTCTTTCCCCTTCCCTTATGTTCCTCTTAGAAGCTGTAGAAAAATCTGAGTCTTCCTCTGAGGCCGGCCGATGCCTTATGCTGAAGTTGATGACTTTTTGCAGAGGCTATTCACCGTAACTTTGAATCCCTTATAAATGGCCAGTACTTTGTGCTTGTTTTTTTTTTTTTTTTTTTTTTAACATAAAAATCAGTAGTCTTTTTGCAGCTGAGCAGTTCGTGTAATTGTTAATGTATTTTAATGCTACTGCTGGTTTAGATAATATTGCCTAAGAACAGGTGCTAGAACCAAACAAATGGTTTTATTGATCCTCCCAGGGTTAATTAAAATTTCAGAGAATCCCCACCCAGTCTCTTTCCGAGAGCTGGTGAATTATCAGCTTTTCGTACTAGTTTCTGATACTTTAAGAACAAGGAACATCATACTTAGACTTAAGGATATATTTTGTAATATTTATATCTGGGAGTACTAGATACTTGTAGCAAAGAGATTAGTATCCTGAAGGTGGCTGAAAGGTGGCTTTTTTGGTTCTCTTTTATTTGTTTTTTTAAGGCTCTTCCTAATAATGTTAGAAATGGATAGATTTAGGGAATTTAAGGATTCTATTGCTGAAGAAAAGCATAATGTTTGTGAGGGGTGTGGAGAGGGTTTTGTGCGTGTGAAAAATGATATATTTGAGTAACAATGACAGTGGACCTGAACAACAGAATATTTTGGGGACTAGGTAGAATGCGGCAGGATATTTTAAATTCACTTTTAGGAGAACACCTAAATTTACACCTGCTGCAAAACAAACACCAGCTGATCAGTAAGGTGATGTGCAAATGGGTCAATGGGCCATTTGCCCCACAGCTGGCACGAGGATCTTCTGACTTGGTTACCCATGTATTTGCCAATCATTAGCAGCCAGCATGAAAAGAATAATCCCAAAGTCTGGATTGCAGAGTCCACTCATGGTTTATATCCAGTGTTCCTCAGAGGGAGATAAGGTTTGCAACCCATGCATTTGAATGTAAGAAATCAAGCACTGCTTTGTTATAAGTGCATGCTGAAAGATGTTCAAGTTGGTTAACTTGTTGAGCTTAGTGTGATCCTACAGAGACAGGATTGAGGGAGAGCTTTTTGCTGCGGTGGGAGAAGCTGCTAGCCAAAGAGGCAGAGATCGCTGCTAGGACTGGCGAGAGGAGAGCTGAGGTCAGGGGCACCCTGCAGGCTACAGCCTAAACTTGTGCTGAAAGGAAAAAGACTTCTTAAAAGAGTGGCATGTTCTTTGCCCTACAATTCCAGCACACTGTGTCCCCTTAGGAAATACAACTTGAGTGTACCAATAAATGAAAGAGGAAAATGTCACGGAAGGCAGTAAATCAAGAAGTAATTGATCAGAATATTTAGACAACTTAATTTCCGTTGCTGAAAGTGCGATGGTGGCATACTGCAGAAGTCTGTCCGGGGCATGCGATCGGCAAGGAGAGCGCTGCAATACTTAAATGTTCGACCTGCCTCATCACTTGCCAGAAAGGTTGTGCTGGAGGAGCACAGCAGCTGACGCTCGAAGATGTGGCCTTGTTCCTCGTTTTGGCACACTGTATTCAGTGTTTTCAATAGCTTGACAGTTTAGAATTAGTGTAAAACTGTGAAGAATCAGTCCTAGACTTGGAGCAAACTGAAACTTGTTAGGAGTACTGCCCTCCTTTGGTTAGCCCTGAAGCTCCTCGGGCACTGGGGCACCTCGTCTCAAAGCGCTGTGACTGCTGCTTGCACGCGCTCCCATGGCCCGTGCTGCCCTTGATGCTGGTTACAACTAAATTCAGGTCAGCCCAGGCACTGACGTTGCAGAGAAGTTGTACACCTCTCTCTGCTTCCCTACATTTTTCACTAATAATTTCATGTTTGATTTCAGTTATATTTTAACATTTTCAATTGAGATGACAATTATTCTTTGTCAGAACCCAGCCATTCCTCTTGTCAAAAAGACATATGATGCATTAGCTTAAGGGCAATTGCTAATAACTAGGTAGGTGACATTTGGTTGTATAGGATGGGCAAGTCTACATACATCTTTGTCAAGTGGTCAGGGTTTGCATAGCCTGCAGTTTACGCTGTTTGGGAGCATTGCCTAACTAATCATGCAAAAACAAAACAAATTCCAGTTTTGGCTTTGATACGATTTCATTGTAATTAACATCTGCTATCTCCTGGGTTCATTGAAGAAATCTTTTTATGTTTGTGTTTATAATTGCAAGTGAAATGAGCTTGCTGGGGAGGTGGGAAGCATTTGATTGCCATATACTCCCCCTAAGTGTTTGTGATGATAAAGCTTTCTGATTACTGGGAGGAGGGGACCAAACAGTGGTTTTTTGCACCGTTTCAGCTTGTGCAAGGTGTTCTTTGCTTTGCTGGACCCTGCTATCCTGCTTTGTGCTATGTTTGCTTCCGCTTGTCACCTCTGAAGGATATAAAGCACCAAAGATGTTCTGGACCGTCATAAAACAGCTTGTACTTTGTTTCAGTGTCAGTGGACCTAGGGGGCTGCATTGTAGAGTGCTCGGGTGCATTTGGGAATCCTGTGGCACGTCTGCGTCTTTAGAGCTTTAAGAGTCAGGTTCTGTTAGTACAGGTAAAACAGGCCGAAGGGTTTTCATTGCTATAGCAAGAGCAGGGGGAGTGTGCAGCAGCTGTGTGCGCCAGAGGGGAATATGGCTACTCTGCTGCTGTGATGCAAATATATTATAAAATGTTTTATTTCCCTACTAAGAGAAACAGTCTCAGGGCAATTTTTTTTTTTTTTTTTTTTTTTAAGGCTGAGGTATGTGGTGTTGCTCACGTCTTGTGCACTGGCAGACCTCCATTTTCTCACAGTAGCGGAGAGTTTGACTTGAGACATTTTCAGGATAAAATTGTGGTTGACATTGAAATCAGTGGCAAAACTCCAGCTAAATTCAGGGAATTGGGTTTCACATACCAAATCCGAATGCCTACGTTTGTTAATTTTGCTGTCAGTGTTTAGCATTCAGACATAGTCAGCCACGTAGCCACGTAGTTTGCCGGTAATGCTGTGCTGCTGCTTCGCCCTTCTCCTCGATCACCACGGCGAAGGTGAGCAATGGGTTCTCCTGCTGCTCTTTGCAGCCCTTTACGTTTTCCTCCTGGCTTTGCACCCGACTGCTATGCTGGTGTGGCAGCCACCACAGGAAAGTTGTGACATCTCAGGTCCGTAAAAACAACAAACAGTATGAGCATTTACAGCTAATAATCTGGGCAAGATGTAGATACAGCTTCCCTTTAAGGCCTCGTGAGACCCACGTGCTGCCCACCAGCCTCGTCGTTGCAACGAGATTCTCCGCTTCTCAGCTTGTCCCTGTCAGAACAAAAGGGATTTGGTTTATCCACGTGTCCTGTTCTTACGCATGCTCCCTTTTTCTTAGTGATACCTTGCCCAGGCTGTGGTGTAGTAAAGCACACAAACTTGTCTCTTTACAGAGAGTTCAGGTAGGTGCAGGCCATTCTTTCTTCCCAAATCACATACTGTCTACTGACCAGTTCCCTGCAGTCCCTTGCCTGCTTAAAGCACCCCACTCCTTATTTCTGCTTATACTTAGTGGAGGTAGTCTAGCAGCCTGCCACCTAAATGTGTAAAAGGTACTTTTGGAGAGCAGCTGCTGCCCAGAGCCCTGCGTTCTTCTTTGACATCTTCTGTGCGAACACCGCCATGACAAGGACTGGTCCTCAGGCGCATGCGCTGAAAAGTGAGTGGCAAAGCATCCCCGTGGCCAGCGCTGTTGGTCTTCCCAGCTGTTACTGCGGTGCTTCCACCAGCATGTTTCAGCCTCACATCACCTTTAATTTGCATCAAGAAAACATAAATCTTTCATGAAAAGAACCCCATGCCTGCGTGTGTCTTCTGCCACCAGACACAACAGTTGTGATGAAAAACCGGCTGCAAAATCTGCATGAATACTGAGTTGCTATAAATGCAAAGGTGAATAATCTTATAATATCCTTCTTAAGAAGATACCAATGACTTATAAAACTGGCCTTTCTGCATCTTACAGTAAACGTTTCACTGGTAACCAAAGCAATTAAAACAACCAGAAGCTCTGAGGGTATGACAGCACTTGTGTCACTATTAGGTAAGAGACTTTTTTTTTTTTTTTTTTACATGAACAGGAGCTGATTTAGGAATTTAGGATTTCTCATGGTGTAGCCTTGCCAAAGCTGGGGCTGGCTTCGCAGCCCGTGCTTGCCCTGGGGGAGTTTGCCTGGAGTGGCGAGTGCTGTTTTCATTTGGTGACACACCTGCTCGTCTTTGAGGTTTATTCAGTCACCGGTGCGCTAATGAAATGCAGCTGTGTAGTTGCCATTTCTTGAACTTTATGGTCATTAGAACGTAGAATTAACAAATAAGCAACTGGTTTTACCTTTGGAGTGTAACCGTGCCCTGACTTCAGTGGGAACAGGAGCAG